AGTGGGGCCCCCTCCCCGGGCGGGGGTGCAGGACCACCCGGGACGCGGCGCCCGGATTTCAGCACCGAGTGGAGGACAGCACCACTGGGCCGCGCACCCGAACACCCACACCGGCCCCCTGGCTTAAACCCGAAACCCGAGCCTTCTACTTTGGGAGTGTGAAAGGGCGACTGTCCAATCCCTCTGCTTTCGACCTCTCCATCTTCCCAAGGGAGGAGGCCGCGGGGAAACCGCGGAATAAATCAGAAACCAGAGGAAGACGCCGAGAAGGCGCAGGGTTGGAGACGGAAGCTGGGAAAGCCGCCGTCTGGCTCAAGGTCACCTTTTCCTAAGAACCAGGAAGAGCACCCAGGCCCCTCCCAGCCACACTTGTGCTTTCCCAGCAAGGCTGAGAAAAAATTCCCCGAGTGCAATCAGGAAATACCAACTCTGATCCCATCTCCACAGTGTCTCCCCGCCCCGCTCCCCTCAGGTCTGGGCCCTGGTGCTTACTGCCTCCATTCTCCGGATCCACTACCCACTCCCCTAACTCTTCTTCCTGTCCCCTACCTCACCTTTGACTCTCTTCTCTCTCTTTTCCAGCTCAGACCTTTGGGCACTCACAGGCCTTCCTCTGCGCAGCCTGTGAAGCTTGCCTACCTGTTGGGTGCACTGGATACGGGGCTGGGGTTGTGCTGGGAATCTTAGCTCCCTCCTCTTTCTGGCCCTTCTCCTCTGTCTCTGTACACAGTTCCTGGGCCAGCGGGGAATATAAAGGGAGGAGAAGGGTGTGGTGATGAGACTGGGCGTGGAAAGGAACAGGCAGGCACAGGCCTCCAGGCCCCACCTGTGTTCCTCTCCCGGCCCCCTGATGCTGTGTAATCCAGAGTGCAAAGACGAGTGGCGTTCAGGGCCATCAGGTCACCAGGGAATCTCTGCCTTCTTCCTGGCCCCCTCGCCCCACCCCCATAAAGTAGGAACACATTCAGATCTGAGAGAGCTTTGTTTGCACAGGGTGACTTGGCTGTGACCTGTCCTGACAGGAGGGAGAATGAATGGATGTTTGTTATGATAATTAACTTGATAAAGACTTTAAAATAAATAAATAAATACATAGATCTGATGCTGGCAACAATAAAAAGGGGGATGTTTGGATTCAGTGTGGAGGGTCAGTTAAGGTGGAGCAACACAATGTCTTAGCTCCTGCCTTCTCCTTCTGATGGTATGTCCACAAGATAGTGAGATGCTCGAGCCAGGTGTGGTGGCTCTTGCCTGTCATCCCAACACTTGGGAGGCTGAGGCAGGAGGATTGCCATGAGTTCGAAGCCAGCCTGGGCTACATAACAGGTGAAACCCTGTCTCAAACAGATAGTGAGATGCTTGGGACTTTAAGAGTCAGTCGTTGAGGAAGAGAAATTCGCTTCACATTGGCCTCTGACCTCACTGATGACTCCTCATCTCACCTACACCATCATTCCCTTTATTGTACTTTTCCTACCTCCCTTGTTTGTGGGTATCTTTAGAGGCTGTCCAGCTCTCTTCTGGGTCCATCACTTAACTCTTTCTCCCAGTAAGAGCAAATATCAGAGAACAGGTTGAGTTCTGTAGTTGGTGTGTGCTTACTCTGGGAAGGATAGAAAAATGTTACCTGTGCTGCAGGTGCTCATTACCTAGGTTAAGGAGTAGTTATGAGTAAGTACATATAACCACCAGTACTTGGAATTATGTATATTTACCCAGAAAATAGGGGGAGACACTCTTCCAGAGCAGCAAGGTTGTTATTTGATGGAGAGGGTGACAGGAACATAGGGAGTGGGACGAGAGAATTAAGAAGAGAAAGAGAAGCTGGGCGTGGTGGCTTATGCCTATAACCCCAGCACTCAGGAGGCTGAGGCAGGAGGATCGCTAAGTTTGAAACCAGCCTGGCCTGAATAGTGCACTCCAGATCAGTCTCAACTACATAGGGAGACCCTGTCTCAAAAAAAGAAGAGAAAGAGAAATAAGACACTTAGAAGATGTAGAAAAATTATTCGTTTGGAGAGTAGCTGTCCAAATTGGAATAGCTCTGCTGAGAAGACACATATATTTACATACTTTTTTCTTCTTCTTTTGGTGGTGCTGGAGACTGAATCCAGTGTAGAAAATAGTTTACTAAAAAAAAGTTTACTTAGCTTATGAGTAAGGCAGCTAATAGAATAGGGGAGGGGCTTGAGGTAGAGTTGGGTAGCCTGCCACATCGATAAGATTTTTTTTTTTTTTTGTACTGATAATCGAACTGTGGATCTTGTGCTTGTGGGGCAGGTGGTGGAACCGCTGAGCCTAAATCCCCGGCCCTGTTTTATTTTATTTTTTTTGAGACAGGGTCTCGCTTTTGTAATTCAGGCTGGCCTTGAACTCACTATGTAGCCCAAACTAGCCTCAAACCTGCCTCAGCTTCCCAAGTGCTGGGATTACAGGCATGAGCCACCACACCCTACTACATTGATACAAATTTTAAAAAGAAAAAAAGAATACATGGTGAACTAGGACTTTGGATCAATGATGAGCTTCCTCAGACACATAGGAGCAGGCCATACCATACTAAGCTCCTGAATTCTGAGAAAATTAAAATGCAAAATAACAGTTTTTCCCTTCTAAGACCCCAGATTCCAAACCAAATGTGTAATCTCAGTACTTTGGAGGCTGAGGCAGGAGGATCACTGCGTTCAAGGCTAGCCTGGACCACATAGTGAAACACTCCCCCCACAAAGAAAGGAAGAAAGAAAGAAAGAAATCCCAGATTCCTTTAAATTTTATGTTAAAGTACTGAGTTAGAAGCCTGAGCTCTAATGAGTTATTTAATTTAATTTATTTATTTTGGTACTGGGGATTGGAACTTGGGTCCTTGTGCTTGCAAGGCAGGTGGCAAAACCACTGAGTTAAATCCCCAGCCCCTCCAGCGAGTCATTTTAAATCCACAGAGTCACCTGTGATAGATGGCCACAAAACAGTTGAGCAATTCCTGTGCTCTGCTCATCTATAATTAGCTCTGGATGGGGGTGCCATGAGCCACCCATCTGGGATTCTCCTGACCCAGAATTACTCTTCTTATTCCCAATAAAACTCCCCTAACCTCCTACCTGGTTCCTAACTTCATTCCTTGACGCCTGGGAACCAGGAGTTCAGTACATACAGTAACAATAAGAGAAGGTAATTACCTGGGAGAGGCTGTAATGCTTTTTGTTTTGTTTTCTTTGTTTGTTTGATAACAGACATCAAACTCAGGACCTTCCACTTGCAAAGCAGGCTTGAAGCCACTGTGCTAAATCCCCGGCCCAGGAGGCATCTATTCTTACAGCAGTCTCACTCCCAGTTTACCGAAGTCTTTAGAACCATCTTTCTCTGATTAGGAGGCCTGGGTGGGTGGGGTCAGTACCAGATGACACCTGGCTGAGAAAGTGGCAAGGTTCCCAAGGCTGTATAGAAGACACCAGGAACTCAGGCTGTTCTGACCAGGGAAATACAAGGGAAGCTGCAAGAATGACAAGGAGAACAATGCAAACATAAACAGACTGCTTTTATGTGTTAGGTTTTTAATCCCACTGCCACTGATTAGAAAAAATGGACGCACAGGGAAGTTCAGTAACTTGCCCAAAGCTGCACAGTTGTTAAAGGTAAGGTTGTTAGGAAATTGATCATGTTAAAGTATGCTGTGACGCCGCCTCACAGGCTGCATTCTCCTGGTACATCTTGACTCCTAAAATGACCTCATGCCCTTATCTCTGGTTTCCCTCACCCCCAAGGCCACAGTGGTCCAGGAAAGTTGAAACTTGTGTCTGCAGGACTGGGCCCATAAAAGCAATCTGGCCTGTGATAGGTTAAAAGTAACTCACTCCTCCTAAATAAGCAATAGCCCACCCCCAAACTGATAAAAGGACCTTCCTTTCTTTGTTCTCTCTCTCTCTCTCTCTCCTTCTGCTTCTTCCTCCTTCTCTCTCTCTCTCTCTCTCTCTGTCTCTCTCTCTCTCTCTCACTCACTCTCTGCCTTCCTGCCTCCCGCTCGCCCCTACAATAATCTGGTTTCCCTCACCCCCAAGGCCACAGTGGTCCAGGAAAGTTGAAACTTGTGTCTGCAGGACTGGGCCCATAAAAGCAATCTGGCCTGTGATAGGTTAAAAGTAACTCACTCCTCCTAAATAAGCAATAGCCCACCCCCAAACTGATAAAAGGACCTTCCTTTCTTTGTTCTCTCTCTCTCTCTCTCTCCTTCTGCTTCTTCCTCCTTCTCTCTCTCTCTCTCTCTCTCTGTCTCTCTCTCTCTCTCTCACTCACTCTCTGCCTTCCTGCCTCCCGCTCGCCTCCCTACAATAAAGATCTCCTGCCGGACCTCTCGGTGCGTAAATGGCATAATTGGGTAAGGGGCACCGAAAGGGCACGCGAACCCCCTTTCAAAGGTCAGGATTTGAACCCAGCTTTGAGGTTCCAACTTGTCCAGTCTTCCATGTTCACCCATTTTCCTGAGTGCTTCATAATTAAATCCCTCTGTCTCTTCCTTTACTTTTTCTCATCTACTTCTCTCTCCCTCTCTCTTCTTTTGATCGCCGCCCTCCCCGTTACTTCTCTTCACATCTTACATTTTCAGCCTGTATTATTGACTCTGTACCTATATGTATCACATTTTATCTTGCAAAGCCAAAGAGCTGGTTTTGCCCTCAAGGAAGTGCAAAGGCGCAAACTCTGCCTCTTCTCCCGGATTTCGCTCCCAAGCCAGCGTTCGGGTCCCACGGAAGGTCTCCACTCGAGACCAAGCGCCTGGACTGGTACCGTGGAGTCGCCCTTACACCTCCGAGGCCGAGGGGCCTCAGATAAACCGCGCTCCCCGCCAGCGCCGCTAGGGGCTGCCCTCGTCCTCTCAGAAGCGCCGGCCAACGCAGCCTGACTCTGCCGCCAGAGCGCGCCCTCCGCTGATTGGTGATACTGCAAAGAAGTCGCGTTGTGATTGGGTCGCTGTCAGGCGTCGCCACTGGCAGG